GAGAAGCATTACAAGTAACCAATCACTAGTACTGTAGTGCTCACAAGGATATGCTGACAGTTGGAGAAAAAAAAGAGATGAGTTCATCAGTTTGCTGCTTATTATTCCAATCACAGGCTGGGGGCAGGGAAAAGACACAGACATGCTACTTAACTGTAAAAAGTCAGGTCTTAAGACTGGCTGTACTGCCTTGGAATGTGTAAATGTAGACAGTATAAAATACACTGCTGCTCACATAATAATAATATATGCAACATAATACTGTATACCAGTGTTTCTCAACCTTTTTTCAGTCAAGGCACCCTTTAAAATTCTGCACAATCTTGCGGCACCCCATTCTAAAATGCAAAAAACACTAAACTAATATTTTTACATAACAGAGCAACATCCACACATGTAGAACACCCACCGTGATTCATTCTTCCAAAGCAAATACACCTTTGCACGCTGGTACTGACTAGTATTCCATTGTTCTCCCTCCGTTTCTGTTCCTCACCCAGTTAATGTGACCCCAGTGCTGACGGAGGCGCAGAGGAGGTGCAAACAAGGATGTTGTGTAGGCACCTGATGTCCTCCTTATTGACGTCATTGGTTGTTAGAACTCCAGTGACTAGAAGGTTCCCATATGGAAGAAAAATATATTTGAAATCTATTTTAAAAATATTCTTCCCAAATATATTGACATATATTTGAAATGCAACAGTTTTAGCCATATTCAATATATATATATATATATATATATATATATATACACATATATATATATTCTAAAGAATATTGTTAAAAATATATATTTTTTAACAATATTTTTTTTTTAAATATATTCTTCAGATTTGTTTTAACATATAAAAAAAGTCATTTTAACATATATTTTACATGTATTTGTAAATGCCTTCCAAATATGTAGATTTGTATTTTTAAAGACATACAGTATATTTGAAATGTATTTTTAAAAATATTTTTCACATATTTAGTAATAAAAACATATTTCAACATACAATATATATATATATATATATATATATATATATATATATAAATATATTTTGAAATATATTGAATATGGCCAGAATTGTAGCTTTTCAAATATATGTCAATATATTTGGGAAGAATATTTTTAAAATATATTTCAAATATATTTTTTTCTTCCATGTGGGTTGGGGCACAATGAAAACCTGTGGCTTTGTGTAATTAAAATGCAGGTTAATCCACACGCTGGCTTGTATACAATTTTGGAGTAATTTTTAGGCATTTTGCCAAGACATCCCTAAAGAAACCTAACACCAAAAAGGTTGCTGTATACTGTATTTATATAAAATCATTCCTTCTAGACTCACGTAGCTAATGTATAAGTAACTGCAGTGTTTCTCATATATACAAGTGCATCTTCTATGCCCAAAGGATCCATAAAGTCAGAGCCACAAACACTGGTAATACTTTATTTACCAGCTGTAGACGTGTACTACATTTTGTTTAGATCAGCAGCAATTCCCTTTCCATATGTTATATCTTTTTTTATATCACCTGTTGTTTGTACCCCTGTAGTCTTTAAAGGTAAAACTATCACCTAATACCTGTTAAAAAAAACCCAAAACAAAACAAAAAAACCCTCACCTAGTTTTCATAAGTACCTTCAAGGATATAGGGGCTATCAAAAGTATGACACTGTCTTATTTTAAATTTCAAACCAGGGCTCTGCAGTTTTCGGTTCCCTCTCTGGAAATATACTGTATATTTAAAATGAAATATATATGAGTCAAGAGAGCTGCAGTAGTCTCATTTAAATAGCACAGATCCATGACCTACAGGCTGCACTTGACCTGATTATCCTTAACTCTGTCATATGGAAAGGAATAGAACAGGATACAAAACTTTGTCTCTTGATCTTTCAATCTTAAAAAAAAAGCTGGCTTAACATTGTAGATCATTTTAATATTGTAACAGACAACAAGATATGGTATATTACTAAAAAAGCTACCGGTAGTATCAAATTTATTTTCCTTACTGAAACATTTAACAGTTCAATAAAATCCTGGATCTAAAAAAAAATATCCGATGTTTAGATCAATAAATACAACATATTAACAATCTTTTATGAGTTTCTGAAGCAGCAAGAAATGCAAATGTGTTAATAAGCTTATCACCTGAACCACTGCTTTAAAGCAATCAGACTCCTTCCCTACAGTGATACATACTCAAGGGGGATTATTTTCTAAAGGCAAATAGGCTATTCACTTTGCAAGGGAATTTTTCATTAGGTTAGTGATGCTCTGTTGACTTCTACTATACAATCACATGCAAGCAAAAACACTTTTTCTTTTAATTTTCCTTGTGCAAAGTGAATTTTAACTACTAAAGGCAAATAGACTATTCACTTTGCAAGGGAATTTTTCCTTAGTCAAGTGATGCTCTGTTGACTTCTATTATTCAATTAAGTACAAGCAAAAATACTTTTTTTAAAATTTTCTTAGTGCAAAGTGAATTTTAACTAGATTGACTAATCAAAGGGAAAATGCAATTACAAAGTGAACAGCCTATTTGCCTTTAACAAATACAACCTATGACCTCTCTCTTTCTCTTACAGTGTGTATGGGAGCTTGAGGATCCAACTGACTGATAAAAAGGATGTTTTTATAAAAAAATCTGCAGAGCAATTCGTTCTGTGAAACTGCATGTAGATTAATTCTGTTCAAATAGGTGTCAAATTGAATGTCACCAGGCTATTTCTCTAGGTTGAACTTTATTAATTCTTACAGAGTAAGTCAGGAAAATACCACATTATGGCTGATGGATAGAGATGATCATAGGCAATAGGATATTTCCCCAAACTACTCTTTTATAAATGAATAGTGTATCTAGAATGTCTCTAAAACAACTGCACTTTCACAGATAAAGCATACCTATCCAAACTCTCAAGCCCCTCAGACCTAAAAAAATAAAACCCAGTCCCATCCAAGATAACTACTTCATGCCACAGTCTTCTGCAATAGTTGGTCCTGCAGTCAAATTTTTTTTTGCTGGTGACAGTGGACACATTTATGCTTGTATGGAGTCAAGTCTTAATCCTCTTCTAATGCATAAAGGCCAGGCAACTAGAATTTCCAGAACAAAGGTAACAATAGCAGCTCCCCTATTTTTCCTGATTTAATTTCAGATAATACCTTTATAATTTATTTTTATACAGCTATTAATTCCCTCTGGTTCTCAAACAATAAATCTTGGGGTATTAGGTTCACATTGTATTCTCATACCCTACAAGTGTAATTTTACGATTTTTGAGCAACTGAATATGTTAGTATACAAATTATGTTGGTCTATCTTGCAATCTTGAATAAAACATTAAATGACACAATAAATTTAATAAACTCAATAAACTTAATAAAGGTGCATTTGTAGATTGACTGGTAAGGATTTAACTTTCGTTGTTGCAGATGCGGATAAGCAAAGGTATGTAAATACAGCAAAGCAGTAAGGTTCATTAATGTCTTCTATGTAGAGTGGGCATTGGAGGTGGGCAAAAAGGACAATTGCCCAGGGCCCCCAAATTCTAAAGGCCCCTGGAGCTGCCACCAACCTGCCTACAGTCTTCCATTGTAACAAAAGAAATGCACCATCTGCAGCCTTAAGCCGGCCATACATGGGTCGAATTCCGAAAGAATTTTTGTTCGAATTTGACACCATTAGTGGGCCGGAGAAACGGACGATTTGTGAGTGATCATCGAATTTGAGTGATCGGCATTTTGGAAATTTTTTTTAAAAATGAACAAATTTCTAATCAATGATGGAAGAATTATGTGAGAAATATAATCGAAATTGAAAAGAAAGGAGCATGAGCTGTGACCTGGAAAGAAAATAAAATTCTTGGCCATGAAAATTCTTTTCTGTAGCAACATGAGGTGACATTAAAGGCTTGGTTGGTTGAATTTCAAAAATCAATGGTGGCACCATCGGATTACAAAACGCACAAAATTTCTGATTTTCTAAAGAAAATTTGTTTGGAATTCAACCCATGTATGGCCTGCTTTAGCTCCTGCAGAAGGATCCACCTGCAGGTAGACTAGAAGTTGGACAGGGAGAGCTTCACTCCTTCATTTTAGGGGCTGGATTGTGATTGTATGTATGGAGCATGATTATGTATGTCATGCTCTGTGTTTATGTTTGTGTGTAATGTCCAGATTATGTTAAATGTGTAGTCTGTGTGTATGCTTATGTATGTAATGTAGTTCTGTGAGTATGGTTAGTCGTAATGTGAAGATTGTGTATAATGTACACAAGCAGGGGCGGACTGACAACTCATGGGGCCCTCGGGCAATAGGAGATCATGGGGCCCCTGTGTTCTTGCCCAAACTCAAAAAAGCCTATGAAAAAGGTACCAGGGGCATCTCATGGGGCCCCCTACTGACCCCGGGCCCTCGGGCAGTGCCCTATTTTCCAAATGGTCAGTCCGCCCCAGTACACAAGTATGGTTTTATACATGATGCAGGCTATGAGTATATTTGTGTGGTGCAGAAAATATATACAGTATGCTTGGTGTACATAATGCGACAAGTTTGTAAATAAAAAACAGTGCCAATATATGGTAAAACTGATGGGAACTGTGCTAATTACAATAAATCCATAAATAAATAAATACATACATATATCAGCAACAGTTATGAAAAAATTTCCTCTAGTATGTGTTTTCCCACTTTCCACTAAATAAACAGTCCCTTTCCTATATGTCCTTTTAATAACAGCAGCAGCCTCTGATTATGTCCCATTGGTTTTACTCCTTGCAAGTTAAAGGGAGGGAGCATGGAAATAGGTGCAAAGTGTTCTAGAATGCTAACTGGCAGAGCGATCTTCTTCCTGGTGTCCCCTGTAATGTCCCAGCTGTTATGTAACTACAAGGAGTGACATGGGATATGGAACCTACAAAGTAACTGAACACTAGCCACCAATGATGGCCCACCCTTTTCCACTTACATAGCAGCATCATACCTTCCACTAGCACAGTGTACACCAGGGGCGGACTGACCATTTGGAAACTCAGGCACTGCCCGAGGGCCCGGGGTCAGTAGGGGGCCCCATGAGATGCCCCTGGTACCTTTTTCATAGCATTTTTTGAGTTTGGGCAAGGACACAGGGGCCCCATGATCCCCTATTGCCTGGGGGCCCCATGAGTTGTCAGTCTGCCCCTGGTGTACACCGTCCTAATGACCATTAACACAGCGGTATGATTCCTTCCACTTACACAGGGGCACCATTCTGACCCCTGATGCCGGGGCATCATTCCGACTACTGATACTGGCATTTATTATTTCAACTGATGTAGGAACATAACAACTGACGCCAAGGCATGTGTTAGGGATCTGGGTATGACCAGAAATGTGTGGACTGACACAGGGAAACACAGGCTCCAGGTATAGTATAAACAATACAATTTATTAAAGACTAAACAATACATAAATGCAGTGCAAGACTAAACATAAACACAGTGCAACCAAACCTCCAACAGATAACAATAAGAACAATACTAAACGTAGTCGGGCAGGCCGTGTCGGTAGCAAACGGGCAGGCAAGGTACAAGGAGCAGGCGGAAGCGTAGTCAGGAATAGCCGAGGTCAGGACAGGCAGAGTTCATGCAGAGTCAGGATTAACGCAGAATCAGGATCAGGCAGGAAGCAGACAGGATGCAGGTACAGGGGCTCATGGGAAACATACACCAAGGCCCTGATCACAGGCCTGGCCATTCCTTAAATACACCTGCTGTAATCACCCTCAGGTGATGACTCATTGCAGGAGTGAGCCTCTGGTTGCTGAGAGCACCCGCTGGCCAGCCCTGGTACTGCAGCCCACAAGGCAGGTGAGTCCCACCACCACTGGCAAGTCCATTCCTGACAGCATGGTTTACTTCCAATGACCATTGACAAAAGGGCAATTCTTGCTCCCACTTACTACTAATATAGGGACTTTTATTTTTTTACTTCCACGGACCATTATCACAGGGGCATTTTCTATTCCCTATTGACCACTAATGGAGCGGCATTGTGACAACTGATGGAGGGGCATTCTTTAACGTCCGCTGATGTAAATTCATATTTTACTCCCACTAACCCAGTGATGTAGCAGCATTTTTTATTCCCATTGGCCATTCATTTAGGGGTACTTTTAACTCCCAGTGAGCACAGTCCAAACCTCAAACAGCTGACATACAGTGAACTGGCCCTTTGTTTAAAAAGTCTGGGGATTCCTGATTTATATCCAGCACTTTCTTCACATAATACATGCAAGAAAAAAAAATCTGAAATGATATGCAAAGTATACACAGTAACAGTCCATATTAGTTGCTCTACAAAACTCTTTTTTGTTCAATCCTAAATCCTTCACATTTCTGAATTCACTCCTCACTCACTAAATCGATGTGTCCTCCAAATTAACACACTGTGAGGTACAACATGCTTTCTGAATTCACTCCTCACCAGATTTATGTGTCCTCCAAATTAACACACTGTGAGGTACAACATGCTTTCTGAATTTACTCCTCACCAGATTTATGTGTCCTCCAAATTAACACACTGTAAGGAATAACATGCTTTCTGAATTCACTCCTCACCAGATTGATGTGTCCTCCAAATTAACACACTGTAAGGTACAACATGCTTTCTGAATTCACTCCTCACTCCCCAGATTGATGTGTCCTCCAAATTAACACACTGTAAGGTATAACATGCTTTCTGAATTCACTCCTCACTCACCAGATTTAAGTGTCCTCAAAATTAACACACTGTAAGGTATAACATACTTTTGCTAACTTTCCACTACTTCTTTTTTAACTCCAAACACTCCTCCATCTCTCCTCTTCTCACATCTCCCAAAAAAACACTGTTATAGTGTTGCATTCCCAATTTTAATAAAATCTGATAAATTTAACTGATAAATTACTTAAATGAGAAAGGTAGAAATAGACAATGGATCAGAGTATTCTGTACACTATAAAGTGGGTCATGTTAGAAGGCCTGCATTATTCTGGGGAAGAGGGCCCATGATTTCATTATTGTACCCCAGTTTATCTAAAATCAGCCCTTCTTTTATGTCTTAGCATGTTGATTTTAAAGATGGATAAAATGAAGGCTACATCTCTTACACTTGGAAAACACATCATGAATTATGGATCCTTTACACATTTACAACGCTAAATTAGTTATCATTACTGCTCAGAAAACTTTGCAAGTTTTTATAATCTTCTGATTTATTTTGTTTTTTGTGTTCTCCTACTCAAATATAACATAATTGAAACAGATTAGTATTTATATTCTGGAGATGGTGCTTTGCATCTCTTTTTAGTGATGGTGGCTAAATTGAAATCTCTCTTTATTGCTAGGTTGACAGTTCTAGCAGAGGTATATTAATGCAGGACGGAAGACATGAACAAAGAAAGCACATCCTCACAAGAAATGGGCTGTATATTCAGCGTGTTCTGTATTTTCAAAGTGAAGTGCACCATCATAATATAAAACAGTAGAACACAGTGTACCAATGAACAATATAAAAGCCACTATTATATGGATGAGGCTTCACCTGTGTATTTCTAGAATTATATATTGTATTGTTAAAGCTGAAGGTCTTTCAATTCTCCCTGAGGGTGATGGGTACCAGTGAGTATGTAAGACTTGCCTATTTTGCCCAAGTTTACCGTTTGGAAGTGCAAAAAACCCAAACTGTGCACTAATAATCCCTAGAAACCAGATTCTAATTTGCATAATTCAGGTAAATAATAAATTATGTTCAGTCAAGTTCAGCCATATGAATTATGATTGGTTGTTACAGGTTAGTCCACTTTACCCATTTTTTACTGAACAAGCCTAACAAACATTTATGCCTGGGCACTTAACGACATTATAAATAGATCACCAACTGCTTTGTGTGCCCTCCTATTTTTGTGTTTTATAGGACTTACAATGGGTAATTTGGAAGCAGTGAAGCAGAATTGCAGATTACATCATCCCCCAAGGGGACAGAGCTTCTGCTTTTTAATGTGTATACTATTGTGCATGTAGCTCTGTTGGGGAGATTTCTCTTTACATTCTTTTACAGTGACAACAGTGCTACTGAGATAGGAATGGTTAGAAATGTGTTTAGTAGAGCGCTAATCAGCAATAAAAAATGTATTTACCACTTTATAAAAGGCCAAAAAAAAAAAATGGGCACCTAGGGAGAAACTGTTTACAAAAAACATCTGCAGCAATATATATCTCCCCATTCTTGTAAAACCCCTGAATATTCCTAATTCTATATGAATCTGTTATATTATGCCTAGAGCTAAAAGATTGATTACAATTCCTTATATGCAAAACCTTCCTAATTATACCAATAGATAGGAAGGTGAGTTAGGTCCTTCCCTTCCTCAGGGGAACTTGGAACAAACTTTAAACTTAGGTATTTCCCAAAATATGAATAATAATGAGGTTGCTTATAAGCTCATAAATTATTGGTGTTATACCCTTGGCAGGCTAAATTAAACCTGTTTTCCCGGGATACATGTGTAGAGAACTTCCATAAATGTACCAGGTCACTTACCATTTATGAAATGGCCATTAAACTCTTCACCAGATGGTACTTGACTCCGGTCAAATTACGTTACCTATTTCCTACGGTGTCTCCCAGTTGCTTTAGGGGGTAACCTCTATTGGGCTTTCTACACCTGGTTTTGGGAGTGTGATCAAGTCACCCTTATTTGGTGCAAATTGGAAGCTTTTGCCTCCGCTATAGCTGGTAATCCTTTTAACTTTATGGCCACTAATTGTTTACTATATGCTCCCATCTCAGGTATCCTCACTTTACAGATGTGACTCATTCATACCATTTGTGTTTCCAACCATTGGGTTATAGCTCTACACTGGAAAACTTCCTCAGACAGTTGATTCCATAAGCCGGGTAGAAAACAATTTCCATACTTTATACAATTCTGTGTGTTATCATAACAAAAAATGGGATCTCTGGTTCGAAAAAAGTAATATTTTTTTTATTAAACAACCATTGGTAATTTTTATATGTCATCTGCAAAGCTCATTCACTAAATGTGTCTTTTGTACCTGCCTGACTCCTTTATATTGTATAGGCTGTCAGTTTACTTACCTTATGAAAGAAACATATCTACTGCTTCTTTCACCTATACGGTTTATGTCTAAACTACTATGTATAATGTATACCTCACGTTGTGATGTACTACTTTTTTGTACTTTTTATTGATCCACGATGCACTTTTTCTTGTATCACTTTTTTTTTACTTTTGCAAACAAAGTTTCTAAAAAAAAGAACTGCTTTCCCAGACTGCTTAGGGACTGCCATGAAGTTGGCACTTACAGGAATATGTGGCGGCAGTGTTCAGTGGGAGCTACATATTGGAAAACAACTGGAAACTTCCTACTAACATTTGGAAAGGTATTTCTTTAAATCCTTGGTCTGCATTGTTCACTATTCACCCACCTGGACTATCCAATCATACCCAAAAACATTCTTCAACTTATAATGGCTGCAGATAAGTGGACGATTGTGAAGTGGAATACATATATATATATATATATATATGAATTAGAGAATCATTCATATAGTTGAAGATCATTCTGCAAGACTGCAATCTGTTTGGGAACTGTGGAAAGGGTGTTTTCAATGTAACACCTCCCTGGTGCCTTGGGGTGATCTGAGGGAAGGACAAGCCTCCACAAGGGGATCCTTCATGAAAGGATATTTACAGCTTTCTAGGGCACTGTTATAATATTGTGAGCTTGTTTTAGGTTTAGGTTCTTTCTTATGCTATACTGCAATACAGAAGTTTGTATTTTTTAGGGTGAGCAGTTTGTTAATCTAATTTTTTCTTTAAATATGTTTGTACAATGTGAAGTGAAACTAATCTGTGCAATGTAATGTAAGCTTCTGATCCTACTCATGCCCTCTCTTAGCTCCACTTTTTTTGCTTAAAATGAGGCTTATTTGTCACCGTAATAACACCAATGTTTCCTGCAACTTCATTTCGTACGGATATAATAAATTTAATGTATAAAAAAACTATATATCTAACAGAGGTAATTGCAGCAATATATAAAGCTCTTGGCTTTTTCCTTACAAAATGCATTTTCTATATTAGCATCTTTTCTATAGTTTCTCAGTATGCCAAGAAAATTATATCTGAATCTTAGAAGGAGATACAAATGCTTTTCGTTATTCTGAGAGCACACATTTTGCTTTTAGGTTCCTGAGGTCTGTCATTTTACTGTGTGACCTGTCACCTGCCGTTTTTCACGAAGATCACACTTTTTCATTTTAAAGTTACTTACTCCAAGTTATAGTCTGGAGTATAAATGGCCCCCAAGGAAAATGAAATGGCAGGGCT